GTGAATGGGGAAGGTCAGGGCCAGCAACCCTTGAGGGGTTAGGGTTTAAAGGAAAAACACATAGAGGCTGTCGGGAAAAAGTAAGCAGGTGGGGGGGGTTAGGGTTTAATGGTGCAAACTCTGTAAATGTGATATCGTCTCAGCTTGAAGCATACTTACGAGTTGCAAAAGTTTTACTGCTAACAGTTTACCAGGTTTTTGAGTGGATTGGTATGATAGTTGGATGTTTAGAAATTGCTCTTTGTGTCAACCATTGAAAGTACTAGTGAAGCACTCAACAATAACACAAAGGTACTTGTAAAGTACTTGAGTATAACACTGAAGTACTTGTGAATACTTGACTTTAACACTGAAATAATGTTGAGGTTCTTAACAACAGCAAGGTACTCGTGAAGCACTTGTGAATTCTCAACTTCAATACTGAAAGACTCGTGAAGCAATTAACTATAGCCTTTGAGTAATTGTGAAGTACTTGACTATCTCACTGAAGTGCTTGTGAAGTATTTGACTATCTCACTGAAGTACTTGTGAAGTCTTCAACTATAATACTTAGAGATGTGAAGTTGTATATTGACATTCTGTGATTCCTCAGAGGAGAGCATTAAGAAGCAGACAGAGCTATCCAGGGCTGTAGTCAGTGCTTGTGAAGCACTCCACTATGACCTTGAATACTCGTGAAGTACTCGACTGTAGCACTGGCACATGTTTAGTTGTCAACTTATATTCTGTGATACTTCAGAGGAGAGCATGAAGAAGCAGACAGAGCTAGCCGTGGCAGCGGTCAAGCAGCACAACCCCCAGACCTTTGCCTCTTGCATCTCCAACATCGCTCTGCGGGGCAAGAACATGGTCAAAGTCGCTAAGCGGGAGGCAGAGAACAGCGAGGATCCCGAATTCCAGCACAAAGTGGACTCGGCGTCTGACAAAGTCAACAGTTGTAAGTTCTTTGCCATTTGTTTCCAATTCTGATCTTCTTTATTTGTTCCATTTTCAGTGACTTTTCTTCCATTTGTAATATCTTCAATGCTGGTCTAACTTTTATCTGCTTAACTTAAAGACTTACTTCAGAAAAGGGGCATCACCAGCCCGTGATCAATCATCTCAACTTATCAACTATTCAAATGAATTGTGACAGAGTGAGGCAGTGTCCAATTTAAGAGGCTATGGCTTGATATTGCACAAGTAGATGGGAAATGAACAAAGCCGCTAGCCATTGGCTTCCATAGCTGTAGCGTGTTTCACAGCCATAGCCAAGTGATTTGGGCACAGCTTTATTGTTTAGCTGACCAGCTGGCTGTATTAACCGGTAGTCTGCAGTTGACACTGGTGTACGTACTTTTTCTCTTCACAGGCATTCCTCCTACAGTCACTACTGGCAAGGCATTGATGCAAGACATGGATAATCCCGAAAAGATGGCCAACTGGCAAGATGCCAATAACAAGGTAACAGCGTGCCTCATTCTGCGGCTTGTGGCGTTCATTTTTGAATTATACTTCTTCATTCCACAGCTCGTTGCATCTATATGAGTCAGATGTCTTGAGTGACGTCTGCTGAACCTGTGCGGGTTACTTATAGATGCACAGCAACATGCTATTCTGCTGACTGCGGCAGGTCAACTGAAGCTACGATTGATATCTTTACTCTGCGGCCCGTTGATGCCACATTGGTTGGCTGCCTTCACTGGTGTCTACTGAAGTTGTCCGAGTCCTGTAAATTTGGGGTCCAACGTGTGATATTTTTCTGTCCCTCTTACGCCAGATCTGTGTAATTTACCAAGGGATATCTCACTGGAATCGACTTTTTAATCCGTTTTCTTTTGTTCGGCAGGTAATTTGCATTTCTTATAATACCCACTCTTGGCAATTAAAGAGTGCGCCCTCAACTTACAAAATCAAATGCAGGATATAACAGGGACAGGGAAAAAAATGGAAGCCCGAAGTTGCAGAAAGACCCCTCTGGGATAGATGTCTTCAGTCTGTAGTCCGTTGCGTCTGGTTGCGTTGGCTGCCTTCCATGAAGTCAACTGATGACGAAGTTGTCTGAGGTAGATGTCTTCACGCTGCAGCCTGCATCACTCTAACTTGATTTTCTAATTTTTTAGCCACTGGGTTGGATGTACTAAAGCTACAATCTGTTGCATGTTTCTGCACCAGACACCTCATTCTGCAGTTTTCAGTTCGTAACAAGCTATGATCTTGCTACTTCTCTCTAACGTTGATCCTAGAAAACCTTAGGTACCCATATGTAAGTATGCATAGTGTGTGACAGAGCAAATTAAATAGAAGTTGGAATTTCATACTTGCATTGTTCGAGTCGTACTGTTGGTTATGCTTATAGTCTTTCTCTCACAGGGTGTAGTTTTTTTCCGACCCTGTTATTTTTTTGGGTCCAATTTTACTGAGATACTCTCTGCTGAGCAGTGTAGCGTCTACTGCTGGGCTAACCTGCTGAGCTTGTCCTTCTGCCCAGCTCCTGACTTCAGTGGCCGAACTCAAAGTCCCCTTCATCTGTGTCATCCCACCTGTGGAATTCTGCACCCCTCCGCCTCCAGTGCCACCACCCCCGTCACAGACAGTGGAACGTGCCCAGCCGGCCAAACAGGTGGACAGAATATTGCCGATCGCTCACTTACTAACTTTGTTTGTTTGCTTTGTTTCCTCCAGTAATAGTTGACCATCCGTGCATGAGACAGCTAGCTAGAGTAGTGAAGATTAGGTAATGATATCATTTCATATCACCTATCGATAACTATCAGTACCCGTGGGAGATAGATTTATCGAAGTACCTCATTAAGCAGTCAATTAACAATTCGTTTCTTACATCAGATGTTAGGTCATTAGGCAGGTACACCTGTATCTATAGGCTTCATGAAAGCATGCGATGCTGAGGTAGATATACTTCATATCTGCATATGTTTGAATCAGTGCTAAAAAGGCCTTACGGCAGAAATGTAATTTTCAAAATATTCTTAGAGCCGTACGCTGAGCATCCAAGAAATACTGTATTGAAGCAGACTACATCTTTTCCACTGTTTAATAAACTAGATTTCTGGGGCCAATATGTTTAAATTTTCTTGCCCAATTTCATGGTTTAATCAAAATTTTTTAATAAGGACCACTTCATGCAATTTTTCTGTAAGGAACTTTTAGCACTGACACGATCATGTAAACATTCTTTGTATTTTTCATCTTTTAGTCGTCTCTCTAGTAATCAGGCATTTTGTACATGTATTTGCATGTTGTCGGAAAAAAAAATCCCATTTTTATGTTATCTAGTAGTATTATTCCTCTTAAAAGCTCACGTTTGGACCATTTACTGTAATTACCGACTACGGAGTTGTCGGGCTTTTTCCATCATTTGAAGTGTTGAGCTAACATGCTAAAAACCTCGCAGCAATTGTTTAGATGGCTTGTATTTTGGAAACAGCAAGAAATGCTCATAATGTTAGACACGATGTGTCTCAACTTACTGGTGTTAGGTCCATTTTAAACTCAACTGTGGAGGTTACTAACTGGTGTATTTGCATGTGAATGTAGCAAACTAGAGATTTCATTGTTAGTTCACGGTGCTGTAACAATGCTCTTTTTTCAATATCTTCAAACGTGGTATATAGTTTTCATTTACAATGAGCGTAATTTTGAAGATGTACTTAAGAGCGTGAAAATGAAGTGGTTTGAGCAACTGACCATGAGAGGTGATGTTATGTTGCTTCTGGAGTTACGTAATTTTTGCATGATGATGGTTTGTAGAGGGCTAAATTATAGCCAGGTGGTTAGAAGTTGCTGCTGTAAATTGCTAATCCATTTGTTGTTATGTAGATTGCCTTGACGATGGTTTTCATCCCTATTTCTTACCCATGTAGCGAGCAGGGCAGTACCCGGTACCCAGCATGTCAGAGTACACAACCCCAGGACCCGATTTGCCTGGTTACCAGAAGGCGGCCGCTCAGTTACAAGACGCTCTGCACAGTCCGCCTTCTCATGACCCGGCCGTGTCATCTCATCAGCCTTATGCATACCCAACCTCTAATCAGTTCGATATCCCCGTGAAAATTGACCCCACCTCATCAAGTCAGCCGGTTTATCATGCACAGGTTTTTCGTTTGGCTTCCTTTATTGCCTCTTCTCTTGTTAAGTTGTGAAGTCGTCGGTGGACCTGTTGTTCAGCAGTGTCGTGTTTTGTTCAAATGTGTCCTGTTGTCATCACTGAGAGTAGAATGTTGAAGCCGAACGCTGTCTTTTGATTTTTTTATGTTGTATTGAAAGCTTGCATGAAACGTTGATGGCTATTGGTTGAGTTGTGGGTGCCGTCCAGTTGCTGCATGTTTATTGGTTATTGTCTTGGTTGCTATGTAGCTGACCTGGTGCTACTTTCAAGTGAAAGGATGGCTCCATCTTCTCGTCTTGTCATGGACACTGTTGTTCAGAGTGCAGCAACGCCACTTGCTATCACCTCAGTGCCTGATTCATTCTCAAATTGCTTTCTGTGTTATCATTTTCACCGCATGTCCTCTTTCTCTCACACTTCCGCAGCGAACTGGTACCCTGGGGCTTGATACCTGTAATAGATAACAACAGGTCCCCAGCACCCCCTGGTAACCATTTCATTAATAATCTTTGGTTTGAATAAGCATGGTCTTCAGAACCCTTTCTGTTACATCATGCAGCGTTCAGCAGCAGAGGTGCGCAGAGTTTCTTACTTTGGTTTACGCTATGATGCAAAAACGCAATTAACTTTTGGCTTCGAGCAAAAGTCTGCAGCTTTTAAACAAAGCACAGCACTTGGTGCTGCAGTAATGCTTTTCATGAAAACTGCCGCCGCACTCTGTTTATTCATTGAACAACTCCTGCACTCCTTAAAATCACCATTGAAACATGACCCCCCCCAATCTCCTGAAATGAACCAATAGCACATCCTTGAACACAGACTTTTGATTGTTGGTCTCAAAACTGTCCCTTTGACATAGTGGCTGGGTTCTATTGTCCTCAATCCTCGCAAGTCCTCCGAAAAATCTCGCGATGGATTTTGAAGAATCTGAGAGGACAATTGGCAGCAGCGAACTAAGGTCGAGGCTGAGTTCAAAGATACCTTATATCCCAGAGTACCGTGCATGAACGTAGCTTGCCGTGATGCGCATACAAGTTTATGACGTGGATTTATTGATGGTCGAGATAGTATGTCTTTTGTTTCCCTTCTTCTTCCGTAGCCTTCTGGTTATGAGGCTATCAAGCCTCACAGTGTTGCTGCCGAGGTTCACTCTGCTCCTCCGGTGCCCCCGCCACCTGCTCCTCAAGCTTTTCAGGTTCTTTTTCTCCTTCTGTCTCTGACATGCTACATGTGACTTTACAATCTAACTTTGAACTTAATTTGTTCCAGACATCGTCACGAGGGAGTCACTGTTGAGTTTGTGTTTCTACCATTTGTCTTTATGTTTTAGCTCTTGTGTTCTTTTCGTTGTTGCCAAGTTTCAAGTGACGAATCATTGAGCAGAATTTCTAAACCCAGTGCCAGATTTGGTTAAATACCATTTTGTGGTTTTTATGGTTTTTATGGTTACTCGGATGGTGGCTGTTTTGTTTTGATCACTCCTGGCTTAAAACTCTTCCATGAAATTTCTGTTCTTTCACAAGCTCTGTCATGCTTGTCTGTTTTCCTTTGTGCTCTGAGTTCTGTTTTGTTTCAGTCGATGCATTTACATTAAAGGTTTGTCTGGGCATTTTAACCTCCAGTTAATTTATCCAGTAAAGTACAACTTCTGAACTTGTTCATGTACCTGGTGTTTTTTTGTGGTGCACTGGAAAATGTTGCATGTCATCCCTGTCATTCATTTGAGGCAAATACATTGGCATGATGTTACTGTTTGTACATTTACATGCAGGTACCAATAAATGAAGAACAATGGTTAATTTGGAAAAAAAACAAGAACATTTATTTAATGGTTGAAACGATTGGGACTGACTTAATTAAAGCGTTTCATTTACAGTTCCAATGATGTATTACAGAGTTTAGTTGGTGGACTGCTGTGGTTAGGGATCGAGTTTTTAGCTTCATGAATGTTCTCACCATTTCATATATTCCGTTACCATAGCGATCATACGTTCCTCCACCTCCTTCCTCATCACACACATCAAGACGCACCCCTCATTCTTACCAGGTAAACTCGGTGTGACTAACACACGCTTGCTTCCATCTTTACTGACCTATCAAGACTATACTTGCTGTGTCTTCTAAGAGGACTCAATCTCATGCTGGCTGTCCTTTGCTATCCACATCGCCTTCTTTGGCATTTCATGTATCTTTCTATTTCTATCTATACACAGAGTCAGGAACCGCCTCGACCACCGCCTCCACCCAGCTATCAACCTAAGAAGGTCCAAATTACCTCTCATAAACCACTTACCCGGCTTATAACAAAGTTCCTTACTCTCCATCGGTTAACTTCTTCCATTGCTTTAGTATCATTTGTGACCCGCTCTGCAAAAAAAGTGTATTAAGTCGCGCAGTGCCAAAACATGTAATGGCCTATTCTATTTGGAGAGGGAAAAATTTCTTCCAAAATGTAATTTTATGTTTTTTCCTTTAATAGCTTCTGTAAAATTTGTTTTCAGAATTTGTGACTACAAACATGGATACTGATGAATAAAGATGAAAAATTGATCATTCAGTAAAAAATCTTATGTAGCATTGGGCTTCCAAGTGCTACACTCTACGAGCCTTTTCTCAAAAATGCTTTTATTGAATGAAAATGAAATTGAATGAAAATGAAATTGAATGAAAATGTGAATATAATGTACAAATGTCCATATATCTCCAGAACGCAGTGCACTAAAGGGTTCATTTATATATCAACCTGTAGCTTTTGATGTACAGGATTCAGCCATATCAAAAACTCATAACCTGAATCTGGCGACTTAGTACCCATTTTTCTAGAGCCGGTCACATTTGTTTATACTTGATACTTGACATAACAGACCATGCCAAGAATCAGCTCAGTCCCAGTTTGATCACTCACATGGTAAATGTTATCATTCATCAATGATCAAGATAGACTGATGTGTTATGCTTGGCAGCATGACTCATATCGAGTACCAAAGCGTGGCATCATGATCATTTGATCCAGGAAGTGTGGGTCAAACGAATGGAGTACACGCATGTGTTGTTTCATGTGCTGGATCTCATGCCGATGCCTTTTACACTCATAATTCTGCCATGAATAATGGGACTAGGCACTTGTAGCTCATGGATGGCTTTACAAAACTTAACACAAAATACTCCTGGTCTTACGTGATTGGAGTCATATTGGTTAGGGACTGTTTGTAGAAATTATTGAACTTCTCCCTTGTACTATTGAGTAGAGATATTGCGTGGTATTGATGGAGTGTTCTCCAGTTAAATTATTGATAATGAAGTTTCAAATTGAAAAGAATGTTATGTGAATGTTGCACCTTGCAACTTATTCTTCTAGTGCTATCCTGTGTATTTGCTCAGGCCAGTCAGGTGTCTACAGGTCCAGGTTCCATGTCTCAGGTGTCAGGCTTGGATACCCATGGACCGCCCACCTCTTACCAAGCCACGCCCACGAGGGGTCAGGGTGCAATGGCGCACTCGTCAGCCGCGCATCCCCAAGACTGGCAATCGCCCGAGGTTTTCTGAACTTTTCTCTCAAACTTGTTTTCCTTTTCCGTTTGCCCGCGTGCCCCACATTGCCTGACGGTTGGTCACTCTATCTAACTGTATGCATTGTGTTTCAGGAAACGTACTTCATGCTTCCATTGAAGAGTTTGATTTCACATCAGTCATATTTATCAATTACTTGTAATTGACTCCAGTAGTTGATCCAATGCTAACACCAATTAACGAGCATGCATTCCATTGTTCTCGATAGTGTCATTGTAATAATCATTTCAACCGTCCACAGATATTTCTTTGCGTTAATGTACATTACATGTATGAATGTGGCTTCGTTTACAGTGACCTTATCAAGTTATTTGAGCTTGGATCGGAGAGTGTTTCACCCGCATGGTGTGAATGATTTCAAGAAAAGATCCCTCCGTGCTATGGTGCCGTTATGGTACCCATATTGCATCCCTAGTCACACTTACCTTCCTTTGTTTACAAGAACGTGCTTGTAGTTATTAACCCCTCCACGACGGGAGACGGCAAGAGCCGCGGCTTTGTGTAAGGATCCATGCAGCTGCTGGTTCAATGGGGCCTGCTGATGGACAAAGCCCTCCATTCAGGGCATACCACAGCCCAGCAGTCATGGTCAATAGAATCCCGGCGTGAAGGGGTTAAACAGATCATATGCCATAACCTGTAATCATGAATGTAGCCTGCATGTGATAAAGAGGCAAACTACTTCACTCCCTTTGCTTGATATTCCCCACGAGGAACATGAAATATACATGTACCCTTTGTTTGTTTGCAGGTTTTCCTCCGTCGTTGTCACATCGACGAGTGTTTAGCATGAAGGATATTACGTAATATCAGGATCTAAGCCATTTTTCTGCGATTGTAGCAAGATGCAAATGATCCATGATCTGACCCTACTCTTATCTTCTGATGCACTTCACTAGTCTTTTTTTTTTCTTCAAAATTTCTATTTATTCTCTCCGGAATGGGATTTCGCTTTGTTTTGACTTTTGAAAATGTGAAATTTTCATGTACCTTTGTTGTAATCAAGTTTGACACTGAAGTGGATTCTTACAACTTTCTTCTTGTGGATGTGAGATAATTTTCACATCGAATTTTTATCTAATTATGCATGAAGTTTTAACTGGCATAAACACTTGTTTGGAAACATGAGTTTATTAGATAAATAAAAAGAGAATTGTTTTTTGAAAATGGTAGACCACTTTTTATCCGTTGCCTGCATCTGAAAGTCCTGGAGTTGCTGCTCGTTCAGGAAATGTCCAAAGTGCTGCCCGCTAACACGGCATGTTTCCAAGAAACTCAGTAACCTGTCACATGACTTTAGTTAAGATTCCAAGCTGAATGAATGAATGAGTGGCAATGCTTATCATAAAACTTTGAATGATTCATCATCTTGAACCTACCTTGCTTGAATCTTTGAAGTTGTCAATGTTTCTATTCAAATGGTTTACGTTTATAACTGTTCCCTTCCATATCAAGTATTTCTCATAGAAGTCAGTAAATTGAAGGTGATTTCATAGTTTCTTTAAGTCAGGTCAAACACAGGTAATCCTGCTTTGGCAACTACTATAAAGTATAAAAAACATCCCAGTAGGACAAAAGTTGGCGAAAGTTTCTTTCGTTCTAAGTCTGATCTTTGAAAAAAATTTTTACCAAATCAAATCAGACAGTGTCCTAATCATTAACCTTAATACTCCTCAGTCCTCCAACAGTTGAAGGATTGAGGAGGGTTAGGGTTAATGGAAACACAACCTATATTTAGCCACGAGACAATAACACCAAGCAGGTTGACTGGCTTTTGGCGTAATGTGATCAGCACGACCACATCACTAATAATATTCCATCTGGTTTTGTTGACGTTCTTAGTTGCTTGACAGTGTTGGCGATGTCCGCCAAGCGTTTGTCGCGTCTCAGCCACCCACCGATGCCATGAGCACTCTCAACTTGGGTGAGTTTGTCTTAAAATTAGCAGTGAAATCTTTCATTTCGGTGTTCGTCTGCTGCTCACTTCAGTATTGGGAATCAGACAAAGGGAATCAATGCTGTCACCTTTAATAGGTAAAAAAAAATGACCAAACAGTTGCCATCAGAGACGTTAGAAAGTGCAGAATGGAAAACTGAACAAGTTTGATCTGTGCAGGGGTTTGATGATGTGTAGAATCATTGGTTTTCCTCTAGAAGCAGGTTTATTTGCCATTCCATTTCTTGGAATGTGAGGATCATGAATTCCTTTATAAGAAAGACCGTTTGGACCACTTCATTTTCCTACAGTGGTCCACAGATACAGGAAAGACGAGTTTTACGATATCGCTAGAAGCAGTAGACAACACAAGAAACTAACTGACAAAACTCTCCAAATGGCACTCATGATCAGAATGCTGAGTGAACCACTCTGTCTTTGCAGACACTGCACCACCCAGGCCACCCCTCCCCCAGGGCGAGGTGCCCCCACCCCGCCCACCCCCACCCGAGGAGGAGACAGAGGCACATTTCCCTGAGGCTCCACCTAGCAACCAGCCTATCATGGTATGTCTCTATCCTCATACATCATAGCAGCTCAGTCTCCAGATGGTTCACCTTTGCACAGCATCATTTGGCAATCTGCCTTGGACTGACGCACCCCCTCATTGGTTGAAAAGAGCCATGTTGGTCGGAGAGTTCATTTTGTTGGTAGTGATGAGACCGTAACCTGTGCATTTCATAGTCGTTCGTGAACCAATGAAGTGCAGTTCTGACCAAAGGAGCCTCTGTTGCTTGGAAAATGACATCCTCTCTTGGACGCGCTCCGAGCCCATACAACCATCCGTCTCTTGCTTTATACTTTATTTTGATTTCAAAGGAGATCACCTATCAAAATCATTATTATAAAAAAGGACAGTATGAACAGAGATTTGTAAATTTGTGTTTACACTAATGATCAGAATGCTTTGTGATCACTTTCTTTTCAGAAAGCTGCCTATGACTTGCACTTGGAGACCCAGAAATGGTCAAGTCAGGGTAATGACTTGGTAGCAGCCGCCAAAAAGATGGCAATCCTCATGGCTGAAATGAGCAAACACGTCAGGTGAGAAGAACAGAAAACTACCCACCCAGCTAATCAGAAACCCATTTCACGCCACAGATGTTCTAAATGTGCAATTTCTTGTTCTAATTTCTTAGGAAACTGAGCGATGCTTGAAATTTTCTAAAGTACTCTGAGGAATACAGTTGTGGATGGGTGTCCCGTTACAACTTGACAATAATTGTGGAACAGCCACTGAAATAGTTTGAATTGGTGATTGATACTTTTCATTGAGTGCCCCTTTAACCCCTTTATGCCAGTATTCTTTTGACCACGACTGCTGGGCTGCGGTATGCCCAGTATGCAAAGCTTTGTCCATCAGCAGGCCCTCATTGAAACTGCAGGTGCATGATAAATAGACTGTGTGTGTGCTATGCACTAATCCTCACGCAAAGCCGCAGCTGTCGACGTCTCCCGCAGCGAAGGGGTTAACCTTAGCAGTCATCAGTCGTTCACCTGAGTATTGAGTAGCAACATGGTATATGGTTGTGCATTGCTTTGCTTTGTTTACAGAGGTGAGGGTGGAAGCAAGAAGGATTTCATCATGTGCGCTCGCATGATTGCCAAGCAGTCAGGGGAAGTCACCAGGCTAGCCAACATCATCGCCGATCAGTGCACCGACAAACGCATCCGATTGGTGAGCAGATGACTGACGTCTGATTAGGAGACTAGTCAAGATGACCAGCCCAAAATACACACTTGCTGTCTAGCGTTCAACCTCATCCCCAGTGGGTTGCTTCATTTCCATTAAGGCTTTCAATAGTGACCCCTTGGGAAAAGCTTTCTTCCTGTGTCCAGATTCAGTGCAGCGACATCAAGAAATGTTGTATCTTGTGTATTTGGAATTTTAACAAGTACTTTAGGAAAAGACTGTAAAACTGTCATTTCGAAACAATCGCAATATGTTAGCCGATTCCTCTTACCTTAAATTCATATCTGTACTGCAAAATGGTGTGTCTTAAAAACACGTAGTGTTCAAAATTGTTGGTTATCTAAAAAAGATGTCTGGATATTAATCTGTCAGTCAGGACGGTCAGTCAATCAGGTCGGTCAGTCAATCAGGTCAGTCAGTCAATCAGGTCAGTCAGTCAATCAGGTCGGTCAGTCAATCAGGTTGGTCAGTCAATCAGGTCAGTCATCCATTCTGGTTGGTTATGGTTGGTCAGTCAGTCAGTCAGTCAAATGGTGCTGGTATATTATTCTCGTTCAAGGGAGAATGCTGTCTAGAAAGACATCTACAATGACGGACTTCGTGCTTAGCTATGCTCTCGGCACATATGTGCTGTGTGACTGGCAAGTTGTACCCACTTGTTTTAATGCATCAAGTACAGATTGTCCGCGCAAAGAAAGCTGCGTTCAAACTGAGAATGCAACATTTTGCCTTGAGCAGTCTTTCATGTGCATTTTAGAAGCGTGTCTCTGAATTCTGTCACCAAGTTCAGTCACTCGATTTGTCTTCTACTAAACAGAACATGAAGCAAGTAATTGAGCGGATTCCAACATTCAGCACTCAGCTGAAGATCTTGACCACGGTCAAAGCCACCATGCTGGGTGCACAAGGTGAGGTTTAGACCAAGTACGCTGTGATTGGCTCCATTAAGCAAAAACAGCTGGGAGCCAGTGAGGAGTAATATGTATTTATGCATGGATTTTTCGTTGGTGACCCATTTTTTGCTAAGCAAGTATTTTCGTTTGGAGGTGGGTGCCGCCAAACTAACATTGCGTCAACCGTCGGAATGCATCAAGATCAGTCAGCCTTGGTTAGCCAACAGCATTACTTCCCCCAGCTTGCTCATGTAAGCATCACCCTGTTTAATTTGATACTTAATTTGATACTCGCGGTAGTAAACATCTGGGGTCAAATGACTTCAGTGAAAGAAATGCAGGAAATGTGCGTTTGGTTGTCTGTTGCTTTCGACCTTTGGGATTTTTTTTTCAAGTGCAATGACCTTTCTCAGTCTGGCCGGGCCACCTCAACCCATTGTTTATCACCATATGTTGCACTCACCCACCTAAAATGGTCAGCACCACAGTTCTGCAAAAGAGAAGTAATCTAGCATGTCGCAAGAAAAATGCCCAGTTTGAAATATGAAGTGAAATAATGTAGCAAGCATTTTGGGCCAATCTGGCAAGGTTTAGCCATATGGAAGCTGCCAAAATACCACAACTTGTTTGTGTGTGTGCCTTTGGATTTGTCTGAGGAAATGACGGCTTTGAATTTCTCTCAATCTTGACCCTATGGCTTAATTGATTGATTAAATTGAAACCAGATCCGGAGAAAGATGAGGAGGCTACAGAGATGCTTATTGGCAATGCACAGAACTTGATGCAAGCCGTCAAGGAAACGGTCCGTGCTTCAGAGGCCGCCTCCATCAAGATCCGGACGGACGCCGGACTCAAACTGCGCTGGGTTCGCCGCAACCCTTACGCCTACTAACTGCCTCTCCTTCACCCTAAGTCTTCTTGGACAAGATTACTTTTATACCATTCTCTCTAAGTCACTGATTTGAGCCGAGTTGATATTCAACAATTTCTATGCAGTAAGTACCATTTTAAAAATGTCAATGCGACCTGTCAATATAAAAACGAGCTGAAGTCGGAACCTGTACTTTTGCAGAACATTTTGGCAAAGCCAAATTTTGATGGGATGGTCAAGCATTTGTTTCTGTCTGTCCTCCTGTACTTCTAACAAACTGTCTTTGTTCAATAAAACACATTTCAAACTAATTTTTGTCCGGGTTTATAATGAACAGTTTTCATTGACTTGTGTTAAAATGGGGGGGGGGTTCAATGTCATTTTATCAATCAGAAAACTTCTTTTACAACTACAGTATGTGGTTCGATAATTCCTTCACTGAACCCAGTATGCCCTGTGATATACGGTTTGTAGGATCTTGTTCTTTGTTCCAGAAGTAGAAATGTTTAAATTAAAAGGTCCTACTTTATGGTCAGTCTGTAGATAGGTTGCAGATTAGTGCGAGAGGTAAAGTTCTGGGCTTCGAGGAATCTTGTATCACAAAACGATTGGTCAATTAACAGCCAATCGCAAATAATCTTGGTCAATACATTGATTACTTAAAATTTATCTTCATGAATATTAACAGTTATTTTTTATAACATAATTTATTTATAGCAGCCTAGATTTGCCATTTTCGTTTTTTTTCAGTCAGCGCGTAGAAAGTTTGGAAATGACAAAGTATACTAATGAAATTATCTTTTATTTTAGGTATCTGACATGATGGTTACAGCAGTAGAGTTGAATATTTTAATAAATTACTAATATGGCATGAAAACGTTTGACACTTACAATTAAAAAAGGAAGCAATATCTTTGTGATGTAATTTATAAGGAGTGTGTCATTTACTGGACATTGCAACTTTAAGTCAACTCTTTGGTTTACTTGAGAGTTTTTGAAAACTAAAAACCTAGTGACACTGCATCAAGTGATGCCTTCTGTTAGAGTTGAGCTGATTTTGTCTGATTGGGTAGATGCAAGTTTGTTGGAAAGCACTGCTGTCGTGTGTTGCATATTATATTTTTTAGCAAGTTTTTTTATCGACATGTCTCACATACGTTAAGATTATTAAAAGTCTAGTGAATCGTTTTAGTGATCGATTCAACTTAAAAGAGCAAACTACATGTAGGTGCATTTTTAGATGACTCTGAATTGCATCATGTCATTACCTTAACATGTAATACAGTGTCAACTTTTCCTGATTTATTTTGATAAGACTGATGAAGATGTCAAAGCCAGGCAGGGCATACATCAGATCTTGTGTAGTTGGCCATAGTAGGTTTTGTTTGTTGTGTTTACTGAGGCTTGTCATAATTAGGGCAGTCTCTACACCTTGCTAACCCAACAAGGCAATATACAGTGTCAGAAGGTCAAAGGTTAAACAAATCAAGAATCTGAAAAGAAAATGTCTCAATTGTTTTCTTACTGAAATCTCACATGAAAAACCTCAAATCCTTTAGAATCTCCCAAAAGATTTTAAAGGATTGAGGAAGACTGAACCCCTTGATGAGCTTTCGGGTCATCCAAAAAAATGTCGGATTCACCCTGCTCTACATAGATTGATCCTTTGCTGTAATTTTTATCTGTTACGGGCATGGGACAGTGTTTGATACTTGACGTCAAGAAGCGCTTTGTTAAGCAGTATTCATGCATAACATCTTGCTCCTGTTTCCAACTACACTGCCTCTTTGAATGGCAGTAGTTGTCATCATCTTGTAAAGCTGTGAAATGACTTGTCCATGCTGCCTTCTAAAACTTGACTTTCTAGAAATCTTTCAACCTTGGTGCCTGTGCTTGACTTAGTGGTGTATGTAACAACGGTCTGGCAGGTAAAATTAAATCCTAGTTAAGCCACTAGCTTGGCTTGATGTATTCATACACCAATACATGCCCAAAGAGCGGCAATAGTCTTCCTACTTTCTTTTTTCTAATCCTTTTGACTTAGCTTATCAAAATCACAGGAGTTTGGAAATTGACTAGGTGCTTTCATTAAGTATAAAGATGAACAAAGAAATTGACTGGAGCGGGATTTGAACCTGCAACCTCCGGAATACCGTACTGGTGCTCTACCAATTTCTTGTTGGAAGCAAATTTCTTGTGATGTTCACTGCGTGAAATTATGTCAACAGATGTCACATTGGAATTTTTCAGAGTTTGTATTTCTAAATTGACTCGTCCCTGTCTGATCAAATCTTGTTGATGTGTCTTTTGTAGATTTGTTTGGAGAGAGCTTTTGATTAAATGCCTGGTCAGGTAATGTAATCAGCAGACAACCATATCAGTGTGAAATCGTTTTGTTTCATCTGAAATGCTTTAGACAAGATTATTATCATGCATAAGTTTCACTTCCTTCCAGCACATACAAGGTTCAATTTTTGGGTACTGCTAAGCAAGCAACTTTAATCTTAAACAGAGGCTCCGTGTATTTTGTGGGGACCATAAGAAGTATTACGCTTACCTTGGAGGAAAAATGTGCTTCAGTTTGAGATGTAATGATGGAAAACTCCATGTATGCCAGTGCACAGCAACCTTGGAATGTTGCCATGAAATATGCTTACCACTTAGCAAATTTCTGTGCAGCGGTTAACAGAAAAATCTGCTTAGTGGTAAGCAGCACTGTGAAATGGAGACCTTATCATCAGAAGTACAGCAATAATATACATGAAAATTACCAATCTGGTCACCAATGGGCTTCGAGTTGGATCAGGGGGGGGGTTATTTCCTTAGCAACAGAGGCTTCTTTGGTAGTAACTGCGCATCCCGAACGACTAAGAAATGCAATCATTGCAGTCGCATCGCTACCAACAGAACAAACACTCTTGACTAACCCAGGTCTTTTCAACCAATGAGAGGGTGCTTCTGCTCGGGGCCAATTACCAACATAGCCATCCATGGCGTGATTGGTAACAGGTGTGAGGTTAGTTGATTTTTAAAAGTCAAGTATCTGGGTGTGGATGGATGCTGCTGTGAGGCACAAATATCTTGAACCAAGACTACAGGGCCTGCAAAATAGACTGAGTCAAACCAGAAAAAAATAAAACAGATTGCTTCATACAATCTTTCAAGGATATTCAAAATAATCTTATTTACAAAATACTTTCCAATGGAAATACAAAAAACTTTTGAAGACCCACCAAAGATTTTTATCTCCTCTTGTGTTGATGGTCAAGAAATGTCGCTAGCTAAACACAATAGGATAAACCTACCAGATCTCTACAGACATATCGCAGATAATCATGGACACTAATAAGTTTTAAAAAAGTACAAATTTGTCATGTAATAGGTTAAGTAAATGCATCAATGCTGTATTATGTGCAACCATGTATACATCCAATATACAACATCGGCGCATGACTTGCAGCCACAATGCGGCAATGATCATGCTTCCGTCTTGCTATTTACAGGTTAGTCTATGTACAAGTCAATCAGCTGATAAATGGTGTCCCAATATACACAACACATCCAGCTTGAAACAACAGGTGGTTTTAAACAATTATCATACATGTATATATGGCAAAACTGGCCGTCGGTGTAACAGTTGGGATTCTCGCTGAGGCTTGTACAAATCTTCGGTCAGCGTGCCACGCATGAGGTAAACGACCTCAGCATCTCTTACAAACACGCCCATGTCGCCTCTGCTAGGTGACATTTGTGATTTAAAATACGGAATAAATACTAACTGAAGGATTATGGGCATTAGGCAGCACAGGTTATTACCACCTTTTGTCAGGGATTCGTCTCTGTCCCGAGGCCGCCTTTTATCACAGTATGCCAACTCTGCAATATTTTATCTACAGATGCAAGTCAGTGAGTTGCAGCAAACATGTACGTGCTTGTGTCCTCCGGTGCCCTCAACAATGACTCTCCAAGTCCTGAACATTTATCTCTAAATGATGTGACATGTTGTTTTCACACCCTCTAATGCAGCATCCTCCTCTGAACTTCAGTGAAAAAGAAACACTTGCAAGTCGAGACGTGGGTTCGTCAACAAGATTCACAGATATTGTCTCTTGTGAATGACCGTTGCCAAAATACAGGCAAAGGGATGACTACGTCACTTTGAAGTTGCCGTCGGTCTCTTCCTAAGGCAATGGAGCAAAATATTGTTATGAAATACAACTGTTCAGAAAACAAATAAAACCTGTTGTCTCATTTTCCAACAACTGGCACAATTACCTCTGCACCTGCTGAATATCAATTAGATGTGGTCATTGGCACAAGTCCCTTCACAAGGCCAGTCGTGGGTGAACAATGACAGCTCATTTGAATAGTTTGTGAATTGGCTTAAGACTGAATGACTTGTGATGGACTTGTGATGGACTTACAGGGACTTGTGATGGACTTAAAGGGACTTACAGGGACTTGTGATGGACCCAAATACAACACTAGTCAGGTGTGTACAGTACATCCACGTGTACATGTTTAACATAAAAGCAGCCACTTTAAAGCAAATGTTAACATCCACTCTGGTTTTGTTCATCCATCCAGACTGCAGCTCAAATTGTATTGCAAATGGAGAGACAGTGATTGCTTACATTATCAAAACTAAAAGTCCAATCTACACAGGTTGCAGAAATAACACTTTCACTATTTGGTCGGTCAATGCTCTGCAGCACAGCCACTGCACAACCAATTCTGATCAGACTTAATCAACTGCTAATCAAAGAAAATAAGATGGACTTTCAAGTTAACCTGCGATGCTGAAACAACTAGTAAATCAAACCCCTCGATTAAATTTATGATCAGATTTCATCCATGGCGACACTAGTCACAGTGACCAAATTTCAACCGTCAGGTGGTACAAACCTATCCAAAACTTTACGACAAATTTCTTCCGCACCCGATCACCGGTACCTCTGCCAAAATTTCTTCACCTTTCTGTACACATTAACAATATAATGCTACTTATTAAATGTCCAATATCGTTACCCAAAGAAAAGACAGACGGCCAGGACCATCTCTAGCATTATTTTCCTTTCTCAGATATACCTATATTTACAATAAATTCATATGAGGTAGATACAAGACGTTATCATTACAGCTACACCTGATTGGCTCAGTCTGTGTCATTTAAATGTCGGTTCTTTTGGCAGTGTCAAGAAGATATTAAGTTATCGCAATGGGATCCCTATGTTTGAAAAAAAAAGGCCATGATGCACGAAGATTGCATTTTACCTCAGCGTTCTGCAGCTGTGTCAGACAGAACTGATAGTCACTACTTCCAGCATTGCATCAGATGATGCGTATGTTTGGCATTGACTGTATTGGACATGATATGCCGAAGTGATTAAGGCCACTGGGCCGAGAAAGACATGATTGGTTAAGGTAGCAAAGGCAGCGTACAATTTTTGAACACTCTGCTTGGCCTTACGTTACTGGCAGAATTATAAGATACTAGAATGTTTTAAGAAATTAAAGGAAAAAGATTTTTTTCAAACGGTTGCAAAAAATACAATACATGGATTTCAGAAAATGTTGATTCATAACTTGAAGTTACCTAGGGAAAAGGATGACCTGTGCATCCCACAAATTGAAAACTTAAAAAAAATTGTAACCAATAGTTATCAATTTGTAGATTTTTTGTCAGAAACTGATTTCTCTTCTTACATAACAGGGTAGTTTTCATCATACACCACTACATGTAATATTTCTGCCTTTTTTTGGAAGGGGGGGCATTTTTTCATTCCAAACAATAAAAATAGAATGTAATCGGTAAGGTCACTTCATATGCCTGTTACATATTCATGTAGCCATGGAAACTGCATGTATTAGTGAAGCTACTACATGCAGTAGATGATCCTGTCAGTTTTAAGGGTAAAACATCATGCACATGTTGTGCATGCACGTTGCTTGTTATTGTGGTTAACAAGTTAAACAGGTTACAGACTAACAGGTTACAGGTTACCTTGACCAGTTGCTCAGTAACCCTCCTAAGCAAAGATGCATTCTTGACAGAGTTGTCCTGTCAGTTACAAGTGGTCAAATGACCCTCATGTGTCTGTCTATGGTGGCAAATCAAGTGGAAGGAATTTTGGACTGCATGTGGCTCTTTTGTTGTGAATTATAATGGCAGAATTCTGTAAGTACAATGTTTGACATTCCCGATATTCTTGGATCAGCTGGCTTGATTCCTTGGTTGCATTATTTGGACTATTTTGGGAAAGACAGCACAATCTAGGAAGAATTTCACAACCAAGAAAAAAATGGTATCTGTAGTTTGTGTACGTGATGAAAACTTGGCACATATTCTTGCAGGTACATTGTACATTAAACTAGACTTTACGATTGCATATACCTTCTTTGTTTGGCAGGCTGGTGAGACTGTACACTACATTGATCCTAGCCCCATTTCCTTGGTTACACATTAAAGGTTTCTGACGAGTGACCAAACTTCTGCTAACAGACGTACAGCCAATACCTCTCAAGAGACTAACTAACTGACCAACACTTGAGTGGAGGTTTCCGCTATGGGAATATTTTGTCGTGTATGTGGGTGTACACAGGCGGGAAAGTTGGAACGACACGGGGAAAAATACTTTGCTGTCAGCCCTGTGCAGCATTATTCTATTTGCAACGGCACGTAATGGAGATTTAAAAACAAACGAACCAATCAGCAGATCTACTGAGAGTCTGCATGCCTGTGTACATATACAAAGGATATTATGAGTTCCTGGTCCAGGTTTTAAGAGATTTGAAGGGTCTGACAAAGACTTTCATCATGATGCATCTTCACCAGTCACACAGGATTAAAAGTGACATCATATCCAATCTCATACTGGATTGGATAATTCCGACAGCAAAATCTAGAATTGGACATGACAGTTGATGCCTCCGGTGCAAGTGCGCGGTTGCAACTTTGACAGAGTTTTAATGAAAAAGAAGAAAAGGACGAACAATTATCAATGCGTGAGCTCCCCTTCCTTAATTCGGAGGTGAAAGCCAATGTTTGGAAAGCTTAATAGTTTACAAAACACATTAGATGTAATGCCCCACGCTGTTCATGTACAAGTCAAGTGTGTCTAAATCCATCATATGCAATAGCCACAATTAAACCACATAAAACCTATCAACGAATACACTTCACTCTTGTGATCGTTTTTTGGGCAAAAAATAAATAACTTTTGTCCAACACATGCACAGAATTCTTGGCTTGTCATTGTAAACTCGGTGGCTGTCAACTATCATGCAGAACGTTACACGCACTGCATCAGTAACGACCTGTGGCCATATCCATCCACTTTTAGCAGCTTCAGGAAGCAACGGTTCCATTCAGTCATCCACTACAGTGACATCCGACCATCTTCTCCTTGTAGAGTCTCACTTTGGCATGTTATAACCCTGCATCATGGAGTCACCCATTCCCATATTGCTGCCCGGCAATTGCGGCGGGCCATAGCCGGGACCATAGTTTCCGGGCATCTGTTGGCCCATGGTGTTGGGCATTCCCATGGGTGGGCTTCCATATTGCATTGGTGGTCTTGGACCTCCCATGTAACCAGTCATTTGGTGTCTCGGTCTGTTGGACACGGGATAGCCCTGAGGGTACATGGTATCCGGGCCACACATTCTAGAGGATGGGCCAGGCATGCGTTGCGACGGTCCAAAGGACGGTGTCATGGAAGGTGGGTTTCCTGTGACCATTTCTAAAGGAAATGGCATTTGGATTTGCTTGGGTGTCGGCCCGGGCCCTTGCGCCCCTGAAGTGTTCGAAGGGTTCAGGTGGGGGTTGCCAGACTGGGCCTGAGGGGCAGGGGTGGGATTCCCCTGGGGAAAGTATTGCAGTGTCTGCTTGGGTCCCTTCCCGTCCGGAAGCAATGGCGGGGAGAATCGGCTCTGCAGTAAGGAGAGTGGGCTCGGGGATGAGGTGTGGACTGTCCGGCCGGCCTGCGACTGACTGATGGACTTGCTTTCCATTGGCATCATGCCTGGCTCACGCAGATTCCCGTCCATGTGCATCATAGGTGACCCACCTGCTGCCATGCTAGTCCTAACCATGGGTCCTGCGTTGGGTCCCATGGTTGAAGATGCCGGTAAGTTCCGGTGCATTTGCTTTGGTCCTGGGTACCTGCTGGGCATGTTATGCATTCCGTGCATCTCTTGCATCGCTGCATTGTTGGGCATGCTGCCGTGCATCGGGTGGAACCCCATGGGTCCGTCCATAGGGTGAGGCTCCATTCCCATGGAGTGGGGTTCCATGACGGGACTGTGCGAAGACATCCTTGTCTGGACCGGCATACCGTGCTGCTGCATCATGGCTGCCTGCGGCGACATCATCCTCTGCTGTGTCATCATTCCAGTCTGGGATGTTGCCATGCCACCATGAGGCCTCATCATCCCTGCCTGCGACGTCATGTTGCTGTGCGACAACATCATGTCATCCGGCGGCATTCCCGCATTCCCATGCGATCCCATTAAGCCACCAGGATGTCCCATCCGTGCCTGTGACATCATCCCCGGCCGTGATGTCATGGTATTCGACTGTGGCATCATTTGCTGCGACGTGGGCATCCTCGTTGGCATCATGCCAGGCTGATGCGGCAAAGAATCATGAGGTGCCATTATATCAGTCTGAGGTGACATCATTCCTCCATGAGGTGCGTGCTGAGAGGCCATCATGTCTTGCTGTGGGGTCATGTTTCCTGGATGAGGTATCATGTCTGAAGGTGTTCTCACCATTCCCGATTCTGGCATCATTCCTGGGTGTGGCATGCCTTTATCGGGCACATTTGATCCCGACTGTGATGCTATCATCCTTTGTGATGTCATTTCTTGAGGTGTTGTCATCCTTGGCTGTGATGCCATCATATCTGATGGTGCCGTCATTCTCGGTTGTGATGTCATTGTATCCAGTGGTGTTGTCATCCTTTGTTTAGATGTCATCATTTCTTGTGGACTGGGCATCCGGGCTTGTGATGTCATCATTTCTTGTGGATTTGTCATCCTGGGTTGTGATGTCATCATTTCTTGTGGATTTGTCATCCTGGGTTGTGATGTCATCATTTCTTGTGGATTTGTCATCCTGGGTTGTGATGTCATCATTTCTTGTGGATTTGTCATCCTGGGTTGTGATGCCATCACTTCCTGTGGATTGGTCATCCTGGATTGTGATGCCATCATCCCCTGCTGTGAAGACATCATTCCAGCCTGTGATGTCATCATTCCCTGTTGTGATGCCATCAACCCAGCCTGTGAGGTCATCATTCCCGACTGTGACGTCAACATTCTTTGCGGTGACGGCATCACCCCCGTTTGAGAAGTCCCCAACTCAGGCTGTGAATTCATGGTAGCCTGCGGGACCATCATTCTTTGCTGTGGTCCCATCATTCCAGGCTGTGGTGGGATCATATCCGGTTGTGACCTCATCAATCCAGTCTGTGGTGTCAAATTCTCCCCACTTGGTCCCATTACTTCTGGTCCCATGGGACTGCCCGGCCCATAATGCTGTAACCTTGCACTAGGTTTGCTGGATTCTTTTGAGGCCTTCTGGTAAAACGTTGACGCGTACTGCTGAGGGTCTTCACCACGAGGTGGGAAATTCGGCGCCTTGTCTCTGTTCAGCTGGCTAGGAGGAAAGTTGACCAACCTCTGCTGAGGGGCAGAGGTAGTCGAAGCACCTGCGACATTCTCTGAGGGCTTCTGGCTCGACAAACTCTGAGTAAGTTGTCCCTCACTGGATTTCGTGGCGGCTGGCTCGGATCCCGGTTTAACTGCCGGTGGCGTCATACTGCTTGGAGTGGCCACCCCTTGCCTGCTTCCGTTGACCGTAGTCGAATTAGGGGTTCCGGGCTGGGATTGTGAGCCTCCGCTTGGATTCATCCTTACCGTCGTAGCATTTGCGTCACCCCCAGGAGTTCCCGCTGGAGGTGGTCTCGGCGACTGCTCCACGCTGCTGCCACCTGTAGCACGTGATTTCCCTCCTTTACTGGATTCCCCTGGGGTATTTGGATTGGAAACATTCGTTGGTGTTGGTGGTTGATGGCCTGTTCGGAAGGGACTATCCTGCTGAGGTGACGTGGGTGGGCGAGATGCCGGTCTTGCTTGCGTGCTCGGCAACTGCGATCCTGCAGTAACAGGTGCAGTAGAGACAGGGGCTGCTGTGGTGGTTCCTAAAGGACCAGTTGCTGATGATATGGCTCCACTTGGAATACTACCTGAGGTGACCTGACCCGCTTGCACATTATTACACGAAATACTGGTGGATTTAATGTCACTTCCCGATGATACCGGTTCAGTGGGATTGCTCACTGTGGTTGAACAGGAGACAGAAGCAGGTAGGGAGTTGGCTCGACTGGCCCTTGGTGATGGCTGTCCAGACTGGATTTGATGGGGAGACATCGGTAAGGGAGGTGCTGGTTGATTTAATGACTGCCCAACGGAACCGGACAGGCTGGACCTTCTTGGCATGGATGGCTGCGTTGCATTGTGGGTTCCGTGATAAGGAGGCGGTGGGGGCATGCCTTGTCCTGTTTGTGCCGGCATATCCGGCATGGGCATTGCCTGGCCGGGCATCCCCGGCATTCCGGAACCCGTCATTCCAGGACCGGATATCCCCTGATTCGTCATGTCCATGTCCGGTCCTGGCACACACCTGCCCATAGAAGAAGATGGAGGCATTCCGGGGTCTCCGGGCATTCCATGGGGCATTCCTGGTCCCATGCCGGGTCCCGGGCCCATTCCCGGTCCACCCGGCATTCCGGGGTGGAAAGATCCCACATCCATGGGGTCCCTGAATCCTGGCCCGTGGAGCTCTGGCATGGGACCGGGGCTGGGACCGTGCCCCATCTTCATCTGCTCCATCAGCATCTTGCGTCTCTTGTGCGCGTAGAACTCCTGTTGAAGTTTGTACCACTCTTTCTGGGGTGCGTTCATGTTCTCCCAGTCGGGCGGTGGTGGCATGATCATTGGGTCCTGCGTCATCCGCTGCTCAGGTCCTACAGTGGGGTCCGGGTTGTCCATATTGGGATGAGGACCCATGTTAGGCACGTGCATCATGGGTCTTGGCTGCGGACCCATCATTCCAGGCCCAGGTGGCCTCATCATACCTTGCTGGGGAGCCATCATGGCCCCTTGGGGTGATCCCATGCCCCCACTTGGAGAGATCAACCTCCCCGGAGTGGGTGATCTGTTCTGATGCTCCTCCGGAAATAACAGGCGCTGCATTTCTTTTAAGGTCCTTAATCTCTCTTCCCTGTGCCGCAACTGTTCTGGAGTGGGATTGTCTATTTGTTGAGGCGGTTTGTAATTTGAAGGCTCAAACTGTGGTCCCACACCCGACGAGGGCGAAAAGGGTCCCATATCGGACGGGTCATGTGACTGTCCACCTTCTGGGAAAGAACGATTTGGCATCATTGGCTCATGGCACGGTGACATCATCGGAGACTGCTGGTGTTGCATCATGGGTAAGTGAGGTCCTGGGACCTGCTGCTGCATCATACGCATCTGCTGTTCCTGCTGCCACGCTAAGTTTGCATTCTTCGGCATCTTTTTGTTGCTGGGCGGGTTTTCCCACAGAGCACTTGGGTCGAGATTCTCGGTCTCTGTGGCCTCGACTTGGAATGGTGGTCCCGACTGCGGTGGGCCACTCTGCAACGGGGGACGCATTCCCATGTTTGGCATTCCAGGCATCTGTGGTGGAAACTGGCCCGGTCCAAAGGGCTGTTGGGGTCCAAAGGGTCCAAAGTTAGGGCCAGGCGGCATTCCGGGTAATGTGGGTCCTTGTGAAATGTTGGGCTGCAGCGGCTGAGATGAAGATGGAGGCCTCTTCCTCTTGGAGGATTTCGATTTAGTGGATTTGGTGGAGCTAGTGGTGGTGGTGCCACTGCCTAGGTCGCTGTGTTTCCCGGTGTTCCCCTCACCAGACGCACTCTTGTTGGAAGCTGTACTGTTCTTGGTGGGATTGTTGCTGTCTGCTGTCGTTGAACTCGGCCGGTCGGGACGCTTACGGCCACCAGCTGGCTTGGTCTGTTCATTGGTCACAGCATCCATCATCTGCTGTGGCTGGGTTGGAGGTAATGGGCCAGACTGATGAGACGGATGAGGTGGATTCAAGGACATGCCCTGCATTTGGTTGGTGGGGTTCTGGTCCATCATCATAGGGTGAGGGTGACCCATGTTGGGCTGGTTGAAGTTCAACGACTGTTGTTGACTGGGCAATGCCATGGTGTCTTGCATGCGCATGAGGTCTGTATCCTGCAATTAGAAAAAGGGTATAAATTGTTAAGCAGTGTTGTAGTTGAGACCACTTAAGACCATCCCAAGACCCCAAAAGATCATCACCAGACTCCACAAGACCATCACAAGACCTCCTGTCTGAATTTAGATTACAAGATATTCAAACGAGCTGCAACCAAAGGACTTCATTGCTGCTCACCCTGTTGCTAGTGACTGGTCTTGTGTTTGGTCTTGTGAAAGGTCTTGCGATGGTTTCACCTGCAACAATGTTGTCCAACAGCTGGACAAGATGAAAATACACTACAGCTAAAGATGGACTGGTTTCTTTTTTGCTTAGTCGCCGTCTCTAATGTTTGATATCAAAACCACTTCCAGAATTGTTCTGCTTGAAGTTAGTTTACTGATTTTGCGAAGAGGTTGCTGCACAATGAGTCAATAAAGATACATTACTGGCATTATTTTTAAAATCAGTGGGAGTACTGTTTCCTGTTCTGTAGAAAGAGTGGAAATAATCTGGGCAACTGACCTGCTCAGGATGAAGAAACTCTCTGTTTGCCAACTGTGAGCGATGAAACGACAGGATGGAATCGGCTTGGCCGGTGCGGATAGCCTGGGCAGCTTGGTTGGCGAGGTGGGTAGAGAAGACACATACTTCCCTCGGGCCTGTCATGGGGTAGCTGGGTGGTTGCTGAAAGGGCATCATTGGGCCAGACATTCCAGTATGTCCAACACCGTCTGTAACCGAACACAGGAATATGCACAGTTGTGTCAAGTCGGGCATTAAACACCTGACACAGTCCATTGAAGTCATCGTCCTATGTACATATCTTTGGGTGCACCACAAAGTGACGTATTGTGGAAACTGTAGTTGCCGCACCACGAACTGACGTATCATGTGCACAAAGTCTATGGATGGTACGTCACTCCCAGGTGTACCAAAACTATCCTACACACTTCATCGTGAAACTGACAATGTACCGTATCTGTTCTGAGCACTGCCTACTTGCAACAGTGTGTCAACCTTACACCTCTAGCGGGGACTCGTGAACAACAGGGGTCTATGTACTGCCCGTTTGGGGAACCTTTTGTGGCTTAAGCCGGGTCCACACAAGGCAACCCCTTCTAACGCATTTTGGGATCAGGGTTATTGTTAACAAATGGACAGGGAACGCTCAAATAATATTTGACAAAAATGCAGCTGAAGACAGTGCACACAAGAAGAATGACTATTTTCACGAAGTTTTTGAGGAAACAGAAAAACGCCCACACTCGGCATGTCACATAAACATGTCTGTTACGATGTACTCAAATTCAAATTAATAGCAGGGACACTTGAAGAAGTGGAGAAGTTCAAACTCCACAATAAAATAAATATCAAAACTCAGATTGGTCCTGAAATTCCACTACAGTAATCATGGAGTGCATGCAAATTATTCCTTTATGATACCGTACTAGCCGAGATGGCTATAACGTGAAAGTGAGATAAGGGGTATAATCAGAAGCACGCCCTCATTGGTTGAAAAGAGCCATGTTGGTAGGGAATGTTCATTTTGCTGGTAGCAACATGCATGCATTTCATAGTCATTTGTGAACCAGCAAAGTGCATTTCCGAACAAAGGAGCCTCCGTAGGTAGGAAAATTGAGCCCTCTATTGGTCAAGCTCAGGGCTCATACTGACAATATCAAAAGGTAAGGATGGACTAATCCTCTCAAGTATTAAATTGTGGCCCACCGTCCCCAAACCATGCTGAAGTCAGTACTTGTGATGTTGGACAATTCTTCTCCTTCAGCTTTTTTTTCACACTTCAAAGTGAAATCCAAAATCTGTCTGCAGTGAGCTTCTTACGGGTAGAGATAGCTGTAAAACTCCCATGAAAATCTGAAGAGTGGAAATTCCACTACTTTGGGGTTATGAAGTTACCGACTGCAGCCTGGTTCTGGGATGGCGGGTCATATAACTTATACAACTGAGTCCAAGAATTGGGCCGTTTTCCAGTACTCAACTTCGGCTCTGTCTCAAGCTTCAACTGTTTTTTCGACCCGACTTTGAAGCTGTAAGTGCAGTAATTAGTCTAATAGTGCCACAGAACATCAAATAAGATGCTAGAGAGCAAAAACTTACAGTAATCAAATTTGATTTAAATGCTTCAGGCCCACAATCGGGGATTGGTTTCGGGGACAAAGCCTGAGACGGAGACAAAGTTGAGTATTGGAAAGCGGCCTTGGAGAGTGAAGCTTGCGGAACTTCCTGGCTTAACCAGCTTGGAATAGAACGAAGATGTTAAAATACTTAAATCCACGTTTGGAATGCAGTTTCAATGGCGACTCTGGCATATTTGAGCTACACACCTGGCATCTTATTATTTTCTCCGTTGGACTTTGCTGTCTTCAGGTTGTCTCCGTCGTTACCGCACCAATCCATCTCCTTCACCTTGGAGTCACTTTTCCGTTTACTACGAGGTGGCACCTTTTCGTCTGCACAAAATATAAAAAGAATGCTTTTGTTATTCTTCATAAATACCTGTGAGAGTACCTGTTTGAAAGCTCGTCATGTGGGCGATTCTTACTACCGATATTTGCTGCATTGTCAACTTCCATCGTGGAGTATAAGGCAGAGAATACATACATACGGCCAAATCTATAAGTAGATGCTTAGTTCTACATGTCTATTGTCGGAGGTTCGAATGCAGTCAATGTTCACATTTCTCATTTTATCGAAACAAGAGACGGCTCGGCTCGCATGTGGCAGATCCTCCCATGAACAACATTCAGCTATGAGTTTATTGAAAAACACAATTGATTGACACGTTCCCACTTTGAATGACAACAGCCACCGTCGACTGACCTTTGTTTCCGTCCGGACCGTTGCCAAGGTTCTGATCAGGTAGGAACACTGAATCGTCCTCCTCGCCGTCTTTGCCCATCTTGGACCTGGTGCTGCCCGTCTTCTCCGGCTTCACATTCAGGCACATCTTGCCCCCTAGGTCCCCGTCTCCTTTGATGCTGCCGTCCTCCAGTCGCTTCCTCATCATCCCTTCCTCTTTGATGGTGGGCAGCGAGGGGGAGTGGAGGGTTTGAGTGTTGACCTGTAAGTCCGCACTGTTAGCCAGCTGAGCTAGCTTTGTCAGTTCGTCTGACATCTTGGAAATGTCCTGTCTCTCCTGACGCAGAATCTCTTGATAGTCGATTTTAGGCAGGTTATATTCTCGCTGTGCAGACAAAAGGTATTCAAATTGTGTTGGCCGAGTTCTTTGAAGTGGCAGTGATGACAAGCAGTGTTATTTCGCACTCAATGAAAACGAGTCCCAAATGCAGGATTCTTGTTGGCAGAAAGACTTGATTTTGATGATAACAAGATGTCCCATAAATTTCAACCTCCTCAAACAACAACTCATGAAAGTCATTTGTTACTGTGATCATGTCTTTTGAGTAAGTTTAGGTTCGGTTACCGTACCTCTGAGGCCAACACTGTATCCCAAACTGACATTACATGTAGCTGAAGCACTGGATGCCAAACACGGCCTCAGAGACTCGTAAACAATCTGCTAACCAGTCAGGACAACAGCCCAGTCAGGGCACTAGACATGGTCAGCCTCTGCGGACCTGCAAGACAGTGTGTTATTGAAGTCCACAGACAGCTTACTACTCACCAATACTTCGGCTTCCTTGCCTTCCTTGGCGGCTTGCTTCAAACGCTTCCTTTTCTGCTTGGCTTCTTGTCTTTTGTCCTTGAACAGAATCGGCGAGAGAGGAATATTACTCATGGACATGGCCAGCAATTCTCTAATTTAACATGCTGCGTGAGCTGTGACAAGGCCTTTTAAAGTGTACATGGATACAACTCGTACAATTGACACTTGTCTTTAAAAACATATTCTTTGAACAGATGGTTTGCATGGCTGCCATCTTGCAGGCCAGTGCTTTTGTTCCACAGGGTACGCACAAAGGAGGTGTCTCTGTGGAACGAAACAACTGCCCTGAAAGATGGCTACTTCGGAAAGCCTCTATTGTGGTCCAAGCAGCTGTTCTTGTATTCATTCTGCATAGGCATGCTGGAACAGCAATAACTGCACGTGACCCGAATCTTAAAAAAAAACAACGTGCACATGCTTTGTGCAAAACTACAACAGTTCTGTGGTCACAAAGCTGGTACAGTCCTTTTTTAGTTTTTGCACCTAGGCTAATTCAAGCTGAATCAATGTAAAAATTTCAACAGGTACTTCCAGATATTCCAATATCCCCTTATTTGGCTGGTAATCCGGACACACTTTCACAGCTCAAATGGCTCACTACAGCTATGTTCAATATCTACATCTAACAAACTTGTGTTCAGGTTACAAGCAAAACCACATCTAATATGCCAAGTGAGACACATCATTTCTTTTCCAATTTCATTCACATGCAAAGGTTTTCCATGCTGGCAGATTTTAATTCTCCATGCTTTGTTTTTTGGGGGTTAAAAACCAAATCATCGGCAAGCCACCTGTATTACTCACCTGCCAGTCTTATGAATAATTTAACCTTTTCTGTTCCGGGAAGTAAACAAGACAAAAAAAAAAGACAGTGAACATTTCACATGGTATCAGTAAGTGGAGAGATGCAAGAGAGTCAACGCGAAAAAAAGCTACGTTAACAAAGTGGATGTGACACAACTTGGCATGGTCAGGTACCTGTAACCATAAACACACATTTGCCACTTCAGTCTATTGGTCTCCATACAATTGATCTTCAAATGCTCAACTTCACTAGTAGACACACTTTTCAAAATGTTAACCACAAGCTTGTTGCAACACCACTCCATGAAACATTGTAAACCATCATCTTTCTGCTGCTTGTTGAAAGTGTGTTACGACGAAATGTCAAAAATTGAATACATCAATCAATTTTCTAATCTAAAACGATTTCCATCCTTTTATTTCTGAAACAAATTCTTCTCGCCACACCCTGCACTCAGTTCTAGCTCTGTTCGCCAGAATACCTTGAAATTAAGTCTGCCTACCTCCAATGCACCTTGAATGATGGGCATCACCTCATCGTGTAGATAGTGATACAGCGTTATCTCATCCGGGTGTAAGCTCTTGCAGAGGGACTTCAGGAATGCCTGCCACTCTTCAATACCCTTGCAGATGCACTGCCAAGCTGTCTTGCCTTTCTTGGGACTCGCTAGATCCTTGTACAGTCGTAAACCTGGGTGGAGCACCAAAATAACAACAGTCGGAAATACCAAATCACTGTACTCCGCTTTAATCCCTGATCACAATTCAGCTAAACATAAATCATAAAAGCGAGCAAAGAAAATCAAAGAAGAAAGGGATTCGAACCTGTGACCTCTGGAACACTATACCGGATTCTACCAACTGAGCTAGTGTACCAAGTTCTATGTTGACAATTCTTCCTATTTGTAAATATCTTTATTTGAGGGGGTGCTACCTACGGCCAATCGAATTGAATGAAATCGATCTTAATTTTTGGTGCAACTTACAGGATAAAATGTTGCATAAGGGGAGTTACGCCTCTGCGAAAAGCTTTGTGAAAATGGCCGCAGTAGTCAGAAACCTATTCCGTTTCCATGCTGGTATGTGTTTGGTTTGATTAAATGAAAATAATTCAGTCCAAGTTACCAGTGCAGCCTGTTATTCAAAGAATTGTTTGTAGTCACAAATTCTGAAAATATAAATGTTATACAAGCTATTAAAAGGAAAAACCACAAAATCACGTTTTTGAAGAAATCTTGCCCTCTCCAAAAGAACAGGCCATAACATGTTTTGGCACTGCACGACTTATTACCCATTTTGACAGAGCGGTCACATCTATTAGTCCCTTATTACATAATCACCATCACTGAGTCTGGGAACCAGTGTAACTTACCATTAAAGTACCAGTACTGATTATTCAGAGCATCCTGTCCAACAGACAGAAATCGCTGGAACATAAAAAACAAAAAGCCCAAACATTTGGATGATATGCAAACGGAGAGTTTACTCTTCATTTTGTTTATACACCTGCCGTCTTACGTACTTGTGATCTTTGATCCTAACCCTCCTCAACCCTCCAAAATCCTTCGGGCGGTTTTGCAGGCTGGAGGATGCATGGCTGAATGTGACGGATGAAAAATGTGTGAAGGTCGCGGCTTGGACCTCGTGTCGTTTATGCTTACCGGTAGTCATGCGTAAATTTAGCCCGACGTTACTTTGAAATAAACCGCACTGCTCGAGAAAGTCATTCGCCACGCCTCAACATAATGGCAGGAATTGCCGGAGGATTTTGAAGGACTGAGGACCTGGGATGATGTACACGTACCTCTCATTTTGAGCATAAGTGCAAAGACTTAAGGATTTTGGAAGATTGAGGACGTATTTATATTACCCTAGCAAAAATGCCCTAGTGGGTTAGGATTAATCTAAGTAATGCTTTTTATTTGTAGCTGCGACGGTATACACACTGAAGTTACAATGTAGGCATAGTGTGTGTTTTATACTCTCACCATATCATCAGGACAGTAATGGTCATCCAAGAATTCGGTCAGCTCCTCAAAGTTGCAAGCATAAACGGTGTCGATTAACTTCTTCAACAATAAAAGCTACGGGAAGAAAAAAAAAAATAGAAATCTGTATGAATGCATTAGAGTGTGAATGTTGAAATGACCTGCATGCACTAGCAGTAGAAGGTGCTCTGACCTTGGGTGTGAGTCTTAATGCAAGAGACAAGTCTTGTGCCTTGGCCTGCACTACGAGAATTGGGAATTGGAATCTTTCTTTTACTGCGAAAAATTGGATGAAATTGATTAGGCCTTCCCACAACTACACTTGTTGTACATCATGGGAGAGGTACCGGTACCAACAGCTCTAGACAGTACAGAGCATGCCCAACTGATTTTCGTTTGAATGTGTAAAAAAAAAATCACATTATTTTGTTATGCAACCGGGCACACTGTTTTTGTACAGAGTGGTGACTTGTCCAGAGTGTACATTTATGACAGTGCAGATTCTGAGGAACTTACCCTGTCCCTTGGACAAAGTGCCCGGTAGGGCACGCTACTTAAATATCCCTTACTCCGACCCGCTTTTTCTTGGATAAACCGATGAATATGCCCCTCCCAGTTGAATATCCTGAAAATGCAAAAATCAAACCATTTATAAAATTCTGACATGACTTTCTACTTTGGTTCCACTATTTTTAAATATCATTTGTCAGTTTGTAGTTACACTTTTTCCCCACGTTTTGGTATGAATGGTATGATATTGATGATAGAGTGATCAGGTGCACACGTTAGGATTAACCCTAACCATCAATCCTTCAAAATCCTCCCGGTGGTTTTGGAGGATTTTTGAGGATATTGGAGGCTGCATGGCAAAATTGCATTGCTGATTGCGAAGGATGCATTGTCTCAAGGTTGTGGGTTAGACCATGTGTTGTTTATGTTCAGCCATGCATAAATTCATGCCCATTTTGAATATGAAATCCTCCACACTGCTCCAGGACGCCATTCACACTGCCTCAGCATAATAAGAGGAACTGCCAGAGGATTTTGAAGGATTGAGGCAGTGGCATCCCTCCACAGAACACAATCAAGAAATATGGGAGGATTTGGGAAGACTGAGGCTGAATCCAATGTTTTCATCGGGGCAGTTGGAGGATTTTGAAGGATTCAGGGTGTATCCTAGCCAAAAGGACCTGGGTGGTTCGGGTTAATGTACCAATAAGGTGTGTGTAAACTGTGATATCACTCGGGAGAAACACACAAGGAACGCACACAGATGTGGCCATGTAGAGATGTCAATGGATATCACTCCCCTTGGATATTTGCAAGGATCCAAAACTGACCTTCAAGTACATGTACACTGCACCTGTGCATTATTTCTACTGCAGCATCAATATAAATACATGTACGTACATGATCCTGTACAACCTCATAGGCTATAAGGGTACCTATCAGTACAGGTCATGTGCGTTTATCACGGTCTACTGGAGACGAAAAACTTCAGCTGAAAAAAGGAGACCTGATTAAAGATAGGTCTCAAGATGCACACCATAAATGTACATGTCCACATGCATACGCGTAACTTACAGTGTTTATTGTACATGTACATCAGACTGTTGGAATTCCTGAGGTCGTTTCCTTATCGAATTCTTGTGAACATTTCAATGTCAGAGACATTCAGAATTACCAAGTTGCCTCCAGGGATGTCATTTCTCCATCTTTAATTTGGTTTCCAGGGTTTTTCAGGGGCAGTGTTTCAAATTTTTACAAGATTGCATTTACAATGTAACATTAAATACATGATAATGAGTGCACCTGTCCATGTACCGTACACAGAATGATTCTCAGCACAAATGATGAAGGGGGACTTAGAGTATGTACACCTGTACCTGTACACTGTACGAACTAATATACATGTATGCATTAACACTTTTAAATGTCAGAGGAATACACGCATCAAGGTGCACATGTAAAACATCTATCATGCAACAGTTGATTCCTCCTATCCATGCAGTTTCCAAGGTTGAGCATTTTTAAGGGGCTTCAGCGAAATCTTGGACATTCTCGCAGACTGCAGGAAATGTCGGAAGAAAACCTAGTAACAGGAGAACATTCCATGCTCAAAATTAATGCTGGGTGAAATATATAAAAATGGCCGTGCCTTGGACGGCTACCATGTAGATACACATCGCAGCGCCCCGGGGCAGCCGATAAGCAGGCCCTCGGCTAGAGTGATCTGAAGAGGAAACAGGCCTTTTACTAGCTATTACTCACAAAATTGTGATATAGCTCCAAGTATGGCATTGATTTACCGAGAGGAAGATATCTGTTATGTGTCTGATGTACAATATTCTATCAACTGGCTCAACTGCCGGTGCTGTACATGTAGTGCTTGTCACATGTAGGCCGTCAACTACCACACATGTACTTGTACTTGCACAGTCTGCACGTACATGTACACACTGTACTCTACATGTACGTGTACATTCATTCTTTAGACTGTACATGTACCAGGGTTCCCCCGGGGTACCAATTTGTGTGAGGTGGTCTAACAAATCTTGCCAAACTTCTAGAGTCAGAAACAAAAGCGAGAGTTTTCAAAAAGGCCTAAAATAAATTCTATGTAGTCTGCTACTGGTAGTAATATATTTACTTGAAATTTCCTTTTAAAATACATTGTAGATGGATCGTGTGTTCTGAGGCCGCCCGTACCATGCTGAACAATGTACAGCTGATCTGTTGCGAAATACATGCATCGAAGTTCTTTTGCTTTTTGTCTATTTTAAGTGTAAGGTGGTAAAATTCAACAGAAAAGCCTGAGGGTTGAATAGGCAGGGGAAACCCTGGACTGTACAGGGAGAAAAAATGTCTGGGGAACATTTGAACTTAGATGTGCCGGTAATTGATTGAGTCTTGGCTAATCAACCTACATGTACATACAGTGCAATGCACGTACAGTGTACCGGTGGTACACTCGGTTACTGTAAATTTTCCCTCTAAAATAAACTGATCTGGTATTCTGTGTCCCTCTTTATCGTTTTGAAGGATTTGAAACTGATCCACATGTATGTATACATCAAAATATCTAAATTATTTTGCCTTTTCCTTCCAACTTTGTCTATTTTAGAATGAGGTGAAATTCGACAGAAAAGCCTGAGGTGGTCACTAAAATCAGTGAGGGGTGCTATCTCAAAACTTGAAATGGCAGGAGAAACCCTGACGTATTATGTACACAGTGTTCATAGCAAATACATTCACAGTACATGTACAGTATATCATCCATAGCACATACATGCAGCTACAGCACTGGTAAATTATGTATCCCATGCATAAAACAATACATGTACAAAGAACATCAATTTTTATGAGTGCATGCACATGAACTATAAGTTCATTTCACAC